TTTGAGACAGAGTTTTGCTCTTTTTGCCCAGGCTGGAGTGCGATGGCGCAATCTTGGCTCCCAGGTTCAAGCAATTCTTCTGCCTCAGCCTCCCGAGTAGCTGGGATTAACAGGCATGTGCCATCACACCCAGCTAATTTTGTATTTTTAGTAGAGACAGGGTTTCCCCATGTTGGTCAGGCTGGTCTCGAACTTGCAACTTCAGGTAATCTGCGCACCTCAGCCTCCCAAAGTGCTGGGATTACAGGCATGAGCCACTGTGCCCGGCCTATGTCTTTTTTTTTTTTTAAAGAGACAGGGTCTGGCTCTGTCACCCAGGCTGGAATGTAGCAGTGCCATCATAGCTCACTACAGCCTCTAGCTCCTGAACTTAAGTGATCTTCCCGCCTCAACCTCCCAAGTAATTGGGACTAGAGGCATGCACCACCATATCCGGCAAATTTTTTTCTTTCTTTCTTTCTTTTTTTTAAAGAGATGGGGGTCTCCCTATGTTGCCCAGGCTGGTCTCAAACTCCTGGCCTCAAGCAACCCTTTTGGCCTTGGCATCCCCAGGTGCTGCGATTAAAGCCATGAGCCACTATGCCCAGCCTCCATTATGGCTTTCTAATTTTGTTTCAAAGACTTGTGGTTTTGTCCTACTTGACTTTCTTCTCATTAAGTGATAGCAACCTATAAACAGGACAGAGTGTATGCGCTATTAAAAATGATCTCACTGTTTATCAAAGAAGCAGGAAAAAGGAAGTGAAACTAAAGTAGAAACAGGCTTCAGAGGAGAGAGAATAAATCCCTCAAAAATACCACTTATTATCTTTAATAAACTCTGGTTTGGTATCTTTTCCTCCTCTTCAGAATTACAAAGAACCTGCAGTGCTTTTTAACTTCTAACTGATGCCAAAGATTCAGGGGAAAAGGTAGTTTAGGTAAGAATATACATTTTCAAGGAATTTAAAGAGTTTGGCAAAAACAACAAAGATTATTTCATGCAACAAGAAATGCTGAGCAACTATAATGCAACACTTTTCTTCACTCAGATTTTTTGACAGGTGATAACTGCTTTATAAGTGAAAATTAAGTAAGTTAAACTAAGCTAGGTTAAGTTTAAGGAGGTTTTTTTTTGTTTTGTTTTTGGAGATGGAGTCTCGCTCTGTTGCCAAGGCTGGAGAGCAGTGGCGAAGTCTTGACTCACTACAACCTCTGCCTCCAGGGTTCGAGCGATTCTCCCTGCCTCAGTCTCTCAAGTAGTTAGGATTACAGGCACCCACCACCGCTCCCAGCTAATTTTCTGTATTTTTAATAGAGATGGGTTTCACCACGTTGGCTGGTCTGGTCTTGAACTCCTGACCTCAGGTGATCCACCCGCCTTGGCCTCCCAAAGTGCTGGGATTACAGGCGTGAGCCACTGCGCCTGGCCTAAGGAGGTATTTTATGCCTGCACAAGATATAAAAAATGTATGTAAAATTGGTATCTTCCACAAGTACAGAAAGCACTCACAGGCTAAGTCTTTTGTCATTTGATTCCTCTGATAGTCCTGTGAGGTTAATAGGCCAGGTGCTTTGATTTTATATCCTATTGTTACAGACTGAAAAGGCAGAACAATTAGAATAGTTATAACTTGTCTGAGATCAAACAAGGTAATGTCAAAGCCTGAACAGAATCCAAGTGTTACCAGACTCCCAGTCCCATGTTCTTTCATCTAAATCAACCTCTCCTATGTGGAAGCAAAATATTTGGGGACAGGCAGTTGGAGGAGGAATAGCAATGTGCTGTCATGACTGCTACCCAACTCTGGTGCCTAACACAAAGTCAAATGGACCCAAGCTAGCTCTGCAGGACCAGCCTATGTCTTAGGGCAGGGGAGTCCTCCCACTGGAGGCAGTCCGAGGCTCTGACAATGCACTGCCTGAAGGACATCTGTGAACTAAGGCTAATTACTCAGATCCTCATATTCCCGGACCACTATTAGGGTCTATGCCAGACTCATAATAAAGATACTCAACCCATACAACTCCCAAATACCCTTATGACAATATAACATCATCTGTTGCTTCTAAAAGACTATTTTTTGTCACAACTGTCTGCAATTCTCAAGTCTAACTAAAAGATCACCTAAAAGTTACTTTACACCTTAGAGGCTAACTAATGCAAAATTCATTTGCGACTGTTAAAAAAGAACTTGGGTTCCAATGAAACTAAAAACTCTCTCTAAGGCTGAATTCTAGGGTTGGCTATCGTACCTGTTGCTGTGCAAGCTGGACTTGATACAACTGCTGCATATACTGCTGATAGTGCTGCTCCTGCAACTGGCGGATGAGAATTTGCTGCTGTTCGTAGTTCCCTGGATACTGTTGGGCTGCATACTGCTGGAACTGCACGGCAGTCTGGGAGTTTAAAGCTGCCATTATCTGCTGCCTAAAAACATTAAAAATATATATACTAGTCTGGCTATAGGAGATTGTTCATGACAAAATAAAATGTCCTTATTACTTACTTTTATAGTTTGTAACTCTTAAAAACAACTAAGCTAGTAATGTATACCAACTAGTATGTGTTCTGGGTTCAGAAGAGAGATTTAAGAAAATAAACCTGGCCTCTAATTTTTTACTTAGGATTTTCCAGGAAAATTTGGGATGGAGGATATGTATATGATTATCATCATAATTACCACCATCATAATTACTAACACTTATTGTGCCCTTACTATGTGCCATGTACTGTTGAAAATACTCACACATGCTAACCCATTTAGTCTTCACAACAACCCTATGACAGAGGGTTCAGTAACTTGCCCAAGACTATAGTGCTAGCAGATGCTAGAGCCTGATGCAAATCCAGAGCTATACTAATTAACTATGATGCTGTAAGATGATGAATTATCATCTCTGACACAGATGAGGTATTTAACTGTTGGCTATGGCCTCTCTATCTAAATACATTAAAAAGAGTAAGAGGCAGAAGAATAGCTGGAAGGTATTACGGGTGGCCCTGGTAAGTATAAATAAAGCCAGTGAAAATTTGAGGGTCACGTCTTAATAGAGGAAAACACTGAAAACATCTTGGCATGCTTAGAGATACTCTTATTCTTTTATAGATAAACCACACACTTTTTTTTTTTTTGAGACAAAGTCGCACTCTGTCAGCCATGCTGGAGTGCTGTGGCATGATCTCAACTCACTGCAACCTCCACCTCCCAGGTTCAAGCGATTCTCCTGCCTAAGCCTCCCAAGTAGCTGGGATTACAGGCACCCACCACCACATCTGGCTAATCTTTATATTTTCAGTAGAGACAGGGTTTCACTATGTTGGCCAGGCTGGTCTCAAACTCCTGACCTCAACTGATCCACCTGCCTCGGCCTCCCAAAGTGCTGGGATTACAGGCATGAGCCACCACGCTTCTTAACTTACTTATGTGACCAACTTAACAGAGACCTCAAAGCCATCTACTAATAGATAACAAAGCAAAGCCTCACAAAATCCTGCATACAGCATGACACTGGATCCACCTAGGACAAACTCTCCCCAAAAAGAGCAGCATTCACAGTCTTTCTCCAAAGTTGAATGAGGCCTTGGATTAGTCTGAGGCTAGCACTGAAGGTTTTTCTGAGAAACTACTCAGAAATAAGAAGAAATAATAATAATAAAAAAAAGAACAAATCAATGGACTCTCATGTTCTCTGGTTTAACCTATGAGCCATGCCACCCCTACAACCTCAAACTTACTTCCCAGTGTTTTACGGGTGTTAATCACTGCCTCCTTGTACCCACAGCTCCCTCTTCAAAAACCTGTCAGTGTCAGAGAGCTGCTCTCACAGCCCTCACTGAGTAAGCAATAGTTGCAGCCTCCAAATTGTGTACTAAAAACTACAAATAGATATCTGACATAGACTGGGCCAACAAGATTCTCTGTTCTGGAAAATTGCAACTGGGTCTCACAGATTCCAGCCAGTCTCTTGTCAGATGCATGGAAAGACAGACCAAATAAATCCTGGGATAGCCTTGCATATGCCAAAGCAGAGTGTGACAATTTGCAGAGAGCAAGAATGAAGCAGAGACATAGGCTGAGAGAGGCAGAGACAAGAAACAGAGCGACCAGGCAACCCCAGCTCCTGCTTCCAGTCTCTGTATTCTGCAAGTGAACCCCAAATCCTTCTAATACGTTCCTTTTGTTTGTTTTGAGACGGAGTCTCACTTTGTCGCCAGGCTGGAGTACAGTGGCATGATCTCAGCTCACTGCAACTGCCGCCTCTTGGGTTCAAGCGACTCCTCTGCCTCTGCCTCACGAGTAGCTGGGAATACACGCACATGCCACCATGCCCAGCTAATTTTTTGTATTTTAATAGAGACAGGGTTTCACCATGTTGGCTAGGATGGTCTCGATTTCCTGACCTTGTGATCTGCCCGCCTTGGCATCCCAAAGTGCTAGGATTACAGGTGTGAGCCACAACACCCAGCTTTTTTTTTTTTTTGAAATGGAGTTTTGCTCTTGTCGCCCAGGCTGGAGTACAATGGCATGATCTCGGCTCACTGTCCGTCTCCCTGCTTCAAGTGATTCTCCTGCCTCAGCCTCCCAAGTATCTGGGATTTAAGGCATGCACCACCATGCCCAGCAAATTTTGTGTGTTTAGTAGAGATTCAGTTTCTCCATGTTGGTCAGGCTGGTCTCGAACTTCTGACCTCAGGTGATCCACCTGCCTCAGCCTCCCAAAGTGTTGGGATTACAGGCATGAGCCACCGCACCTGGCATACATTCCTCCTTTTGCAACCAATTGATGCTTAAGACCAGACTCTCTATGGTAACAGATCACTGGTAAAAACAGTGAAAAGCTAATACCAGTGTACCTCCTCATCGTGCAAATCACAGAAGTATTCTTAGGGATATGATGGTAAAAAGTCAAGTTATAACAGTATGGAAGCCCGTTTTTTTGAGACAGAATTTCACTCTTGTTGTCCAGGCGGGAGTGCAATGGCACAATCTCAGCTCACTACAACCTCGGCCTCCTGAGTTCAAGCGATCCTCCTGCCTCAGCCTCCGAAGTAGCTGGGATTACAGGCACATGCCACCATGACCGGCTAATTGTTTGTATTTTCAGTAGAGGTGGGGTTTCACTGTGTTAGTCAGAATGGTCTCCATCTCCTGACCTCAGGTGATGCACCTGCCTCCACCTCCCAAAGTGCCGGGATTACAGGCGTGAGCCACCGTGCCCAGCCCACTCATTTCTTATTTTTATTCTATTTTATTTTATTTTTTCCATTTCTCATTTTAAAACATAAGCCATATAATAAGCTTACTTTTGCTGCTCCAACCGAAGCCTCTCTTCTTCTATCCGTCTCCTTTCTTCTTCCTCCCGTTGAAGCCTTTCCTCTTCTTCTCTCCTACGTTTCTCTTCCTCCTTTTGCAGACGTTCTCTTTCTTCCTCTTCACGCCGCCTTCGCTCCTCCTCCTCCTTCCTAGAAGGCAAAGGATAGAGAATGAACCCTATACATTGAATACTGTTTAAAAATAATTTAAAACTTTAGTTCTCAGTGAAAACTGACATGACCTTTTTAGGGAACAATGTGGATATATACATCAAAATTTAAAAGGCATACAATTTACTAGCAGAAACTTATATGGAGTAAATCTCACAATATACAAATCACAGCAAAAATAATTACTGTTACACAGCAATAGAAAATGTGTCCACCATAAGATACTACTTAAATCATTATGATATTAGTATACCCTGAAGGATCCCCTCTCATATAGGCTCACAGCACTAAAAGCTTTTCCTTCATAACACCTACTGTCATTGTAATTAACTGTGTGTGATACATTTAGCAGTAGGTCTGCCTTACCCATTAAAGTAGATGCTCCATAGGGGCAGAGACTGCCTATCTCACACCACTACATCCTCAGGGCTTAGCACAGTGCTGGAAAGAACAAGGACTCAACAAACATGTATAGAAGCAAAAAATTCACCCTCAAACACAGCAGAGTCAAAGGATAGAAGTACATGCCTAATATGTAAAGACACTGAATACATTTGCTTAATGAAAAAAAAGGGTAAATACATAGGAAAAGATCCGGAAGGATACAATCTAAATTTATCAGTTATTATCTATACAAAGGAGAGTAGAATTAAAAGAAATATGGGAAAAAAAGATTTTTCAGTTTGTGTTTCATTTATTGCCATAAATGAAAATCTTTATATTGCATATATTTCTGAAATCAAAAAATGCTTTAAAAAAAGAACGGTTAACCTCACAGTGCAGCTCTTGCCCAGCTTTTGCCCACCCCACAAGACTTTTCCAAAAAGAACAGATCCTATTATGCTAGGAATGGACACCTTAAGGGTCTGCAAGTGGTTTGGTGTCCAGGGAGGTTGCAGACAGGATGAAAGGGAAGATTTCTGAGGAGTATCAGGTAAGACACCATTTCTTGGTCCTACCACGAGAACTGTCTGTGCTACCTCACCCTTCTCCCCTCTAACTCTTATAAGTGATTAACAACACACCTGAGCCACAGCCAAGGCTCAAAATATAGCAATAACATGACCTACTTTTTTTTTTTTGAGACAAGGTCTCACTCTGTCACCCACACTGGAGTACAGCGGCATGTTCTTGGTTCACTGCAACTCCAACTCCCAGGCTCCAACAATCCTCCCACCTTAGCCTCCCAAGTAGCTGGAACTATAGGCACCTGCAACCACATCGAGCTAATTTTTGTATTTTTTTGTAGAGATGGGGTTTTGCCCTGTTGCTCAGGCTGGTCCTGAACTCTTAGACTCAAGTGATCTGCCTACCTTGGCCTCCCAAAGTGCTGGGATTACAGATGTGAGCCACCACAGGCATGAGTCACCGAACTTGGCCCTGACCTACTTTTAATGTGTCACAGCTAGTACAGGGCAAGAAGGCTCCCAAGCTAGAGCTTCAACTTCAGAATAGATGAAGTCTACTCTTAAACACTTTAAAATAATTCTATATGGACTTTATCCCATGACAAAAGTATATTTCAACTTTATAGGTTGAGTAGTAACTTTTGACAATGCCTAAGAGAAATGTGCATATATCATTAAAATAATAATTTAAAATCAATATATACATACTACTTCTACAGATATCATAGCAGTATCTCATTGATCCAACATTACTACACAATGGCCTCTAGGACATAAATCAATTTTCCACTTCAAGAAACTTTATTCTATTCTCAGAAGAATCAAAACTTTTCCTTTAGATTAAAAAAACAACTTTCTTTGGATAAATAGCTTCTGAAAATGTTAATCAAGCCATTTCCCATTATCCTAAACAGGAATAAATCATATATGATGTTCCATCTCTTGATGACTCAGGGGTTATAGCTATTAACATAAAAACTGCACATCATACTATTGTGATGGAGAAGTTTACCTTCATATTAAATAGCCCCTGACTGCCATGCTTTTATAATTCTTGTGTCTGTTTTTCATGGTTTCTATCATGTCCCTCACTATCAAACTATTTTCTCTTATCTGCTTTTTCTAATCCAGGTTAAGGTAGGAAACCCGAGAAACAATTGTTTTTAAAGAATAACATCAGCTGGGCACAGTGGCTCACGCCTGTAATCCCAGTACTTCGGAAGGTCGAGGCAGATGGATTACCTGAAGTCAGGAGCTGGAGATCAGCCTGGCCAACATGGTAAAACCTCATTTCTACTAAGAGCTTTTAGCTGGGTTTGGTGGTGGGTACTTGTAATCCCAGCTACTTGGAAGGGTGAGGCAGGAGAACTACTTGAACCCAGGAGGCAGAGGTTGCAGTGAACTGAGATCGTGTCACTGCACTCCAGCCTGAACAACAGTGCAAGACTCTGTCTCAAAA